GGGAGCCCAGATTCCAGTGACATTCACTTTTACCCCGTCTAGTCCGCTGTGGCCATCTTTGGAAAGCACGCCATTTATCAAAGCCGCTAAGTGGACGTTCGATGGAACCGGGAAGACTGTAGGATCTATATACATTAGTCCAAAGAAAGGATTCAGAAACCCGTTTCACTGGCGGTTCTATGGGGCAACGATGTCGTGCCACCTGGAACAACGTAGATGATCACAAATAATATAATATTCTTAATTTTATCTCACTCCTCAGTATCCAAGGCATGATCCAGCCAGCAGAAGGAGAACATAAGGGGCAGCTAGGCGTAGGATAAAGCTGCATCTATCATCCTATAGTCAGCCCCTTATTGCTCTATTAAATCTGCAGCATCAACTACGTCTATTTAACCAGCGAGGCAAGTATAGGTTACATATCCATACCATTTGCCACCTATCTAGAAAGGTGTAAGATAACTAGTATAGGCAGAGGGTTAGATTAGCCATTCTAGAGCGACAAGTCCAGCATCTGCGAGCCCATCTTGATAACCAGCAACAACACAAGAGGAAGAAAGCCCCTCCATCCCCCAACAGCACCTTCGCAACGATGTCGCGTATTCAGCATGTGTAAAAGTCGCCAGGCGATAGTATGTGTAGTCCCAATAAATCCAGCGCATCTAAATTATTCAGCGTAAGCGAAAGTTACTTGTACGGGGGTGGTAAGCCTGGCGAAATAAGTGGTATGATAGTGGTGATGATGGCGGTGGCGATGGCGCGCGCAGGATGCGCAGTAAATAGTATGGGGGAGTCAACCGGGATCCCTCTTTACTGACATGCTCGTTAGTCAATCTTGGTGGCCGCATAAAGTTGACCAACTGTGGTCTAATGGTGGCTTTAACACGCCTTAGCAGCGTTATAAAACGGCTTAGCTAATCACCATACGTAGATATAGTCTCGTGTAGATAAGACTGCTCTCACTGGCTTACCTATGGGAGAGCGGGTAGGTAGGCTGGAATCATGAAGAGGTTGGGCCCGTATAGATCTACAGTGCCAGTCTCCCCCTAGTTTGCAGAGAGATAGAGAAACATTTGAATCTGGCTATGGCTACAGAGCATCTTGGAACGAAATCTCATTGCAGAGACAGAAATTCCATGCATTCCTCGACCAAAAACCAATCTTGGTTATGTCGTGGCCAACCAGGCAGAAGTTGCGCCTGGAATGCATAAAAAAGACATACAACACCAGGTATTCGCTGATCGTCACCGACTCAACTACTAATCCGGCCCTCACTGGCTTATCTATGGGAGAGCGGACGGGATCCCGAGTTCTCCAGTGGGTATGGTCGTATGTGACAGGATGAGGCAGCATGTCTTGTCATATAGTCTGAAGTCTGTCCGCCCGCCGTTGTTGATGGCGAGTCACACCAGGAACACGAATCTGACTCTCCGGCAGCTCGCAGAAAGCCGGCCCCTGGGCTTCTCTTCAAAAGGGGTGATTGATGCTTCGGTGTGGCGGTAATAGCGTCGATGCATGCCAATCCGCATCAGAAGCTGGTCTGTTTTGCCGGATCACCTCGGCCGACAGATGGGCTTATTGAATCGACTGCGTAGGTGGCACGCGTGAGGGCAGCAGATGCCGTTTCCTCGCACAGCGCCTCCCCGCCCCCGCCATCTTCTCGACAAAAACAAAAAGTAAAGCCGCCGATCAGGCTCCGGTGCTCGTCACAGCGCTTTGTTTCCCACCTTCGATTCGGCCTGGGGGGGAGAACGCCGTCGAGACATACGTGTAATACGAACGCGGCCAGCTCTCCGTCCGGCAGGCCGGTTCGGACCCCCCCGCGAACAGCCCTCTGTCAATTCCACATCGAACCCAACAACCAAGAAACCCCCCCTACGTCACTCACATGGACTGCATCCGCAGCGGCAGTTTGTCTGAGCTTGGGAATGCGCCCACCGCCCAGTTGGATAAAGACCGGGTAATTCCGTCGCCTTGGCAGACATCTGCATCGAGGCCCCCCCGCAAGGCTTCCTTTATCATATCCATCTCTATACTTCTCAGCTGCCGCTCCCCAGATTATGGGGTAAACGCAAGACTTGCCAGACCCCAAGAAACAGCCCTCGCATCATGGGTATTCAACGAGGCAGCTTGGCAATAGGTGACGGCAGTGTCTCACACCTGTTTGCCAAGCTTCACAGCAGGCCCAAGTGATGGAAGGGTCACTGTTTCCCAAGTACAAGTTTTGGCCAGTCTGGCGGTACGTTCCGAATAATTGGTAATGGCTAGGCTTGATTCAACGGCTTCAATGTCCGTCACCTTTTCTTTAAACACCGCCGTACCAGGTGCCGCCTCACATACTGCTGCTGCTTCCTTTTCTTGCGTATATGTACTGTATTCGTTCCGCATCGAAGGGGCAGCAAGGCTTCAACCACCTTCGTTCCTCTCCTCATCATCAAAACCGGATGCGGGAAACCGAGAGCTCGCCGTGATGCTCCCTCCCTTCTTCCTGGTCCTTTTCGGCGGCATCCTGCTTATCGCAGCTCAGGCCGAAGACGCGCCAACTCTCAAAAGCCTGGGCTCCTTGCCCACTCTCAGAATCTCGCGTTCCGGCCTCCCCGTCAACTCCGCCGCCGTCAACGGAGCGTGCGACGCCCGCAGTGTGAGATGCAACGGCCGCTGCGTGCCCTTGGGGAGCAACTGCTGCCCCGTCGACGGCTACTGCGCCGCCAACGCCTACTGCTCCGGGAACGGGTGCTGCCCGCTCGGCAAGGTCTGCAACGGGACCCCGACGACTTGCGGCGACGACGAAGAGCAGTGCGGCTCGTACTGCATGCCCGCGAGCAAGGTGTGCTGCTCGAACGGGGGGTACTGCAACGAGGGCGAAACGTGCACGGCGGACGGCGTCTGTTCCGGCCGCGCTGACCATGCCCCGGATTGCGACCCGGGCACGGCTGCTTGCGGCTCCAGGTGCATGCCCACTGATGCGGTGTGCTGCGATGACGGCAGCTACTGCGACGCCGGGGAGACATGTGTAGAAGGCGGCTCGTGCCGCGGGAGTACGACGCCCAACATGCCCCAGGCTACAACAGCTGGTCTTGGAGCCACTATGAGTGCGTCGGCTGGGGCGCCGCGCGGGGCGTACGTCAACCACGCCGCCTTGGCTGTTGGATTGTGCGCAGCTGTGCCATTGGTTATCTAACAGATGTGAGTGGAAGACGGTCTTGGTGTTGTCACGTCTGCGGATGCTCTGGCAACCGGGCGAATATGCATGCTGAACGGACTAGCGAGAACAACATTCGCTATCAGCGTACAAAATCAAGTGTCTGCGTGGACCAGCCTCGGGCCTTCTAGGACATGCAAGTTGAGGACATGCGGGCGATGTTCGAAGCTAGAATCGATAGAAGGAGGTTCGGGTGGGAGAGAAAGACGCATACCGGAAGGCTGCTCCAAAAGCGCATCCATTCTACCTGCGTCACCGTACCATAGTAGAAACCAAAAAAAAAAGCGAAGAAACACTGGACGATGGATACCCCAACCATGGGCCTTTTGATTATTTATTTTTTGCTTATTTACTCCCTCATCATAATCGACGCAAACTCGTCATCTGGCTCACGTGTCAGCACAGCGTCCTCATTTGACTAAAGTCAGGGTTGGGTGGTCCTTACAGTCAATTGTTCCGTCGCCGTTCTTGTCGGCCATCTGGATCATCTCGTCAATCTCAGCTGGGGTCATGTCCTCTCCCAGCGAGGTCAGGACGTGGCGCAGCTCCTCGGCGGAGATGGTGCCGCTGCCGTCGCGGTCAAAGACCTTGAATGCGTTCTTGAGCTCTTCCTCGGCGTCACCGGTTTGTACCTTTTGCGCCATGAGGTTGAGGAATTCTATGCTAGATGTCAGCATACACATACACATGAAAGCCTTTGGTGGAGATCATTGCTAACCATTGAAGTCGATGGAGCCGTTGTTGTCGGCGTCAACCTCGTTGACCATGTCGTTCAGCTCCGTGTCGCTGGGGTTGAGGCCCAGGGACCTCATGACGGCACCCAGTTCCTGGGCGGTGATATCACCTTCAATAACACATGTCAGTTTCCATGATCGGATGGATCGTCATATGCAAAAGTGACAAGAGCTCGCGCGGAGCAAGATGAGATGGAAGATGGAACACGTCTAAGCCACTCTGGTTTGCGCTCTAGTGGGAGAGAGAGGGTCGAGGTTCCTATGTCATGCAAAGAGGCGAAGCAGAATAAGGGTTCGCAGGAAGACAAAGCACTGACCGGTCCCATCCTTGTCCTAATCCCACATGTTAGCAAAAGGTTAGACTGGCTGAGGAGAAGGGAGAGGCGTAGGTTTGGGCATGCGCCGCCAGCCTGATAGTTGGGCAAAGGGGAGCGGAGCGGACAAGGCGGAGGGAGAGGGAGGGCAGAGGGCGAGAACTTACGAAGAGGTCAAACACCTCCTTGTATTGCGCCTTTTGCTCCTCGGTCAACCCAGCTGCAGTGGCCTGTCAGGCTGTAAGTCAGCATCGGACTGGATTGTCAGACACAGCAGCAGTCCGACCCTCACCATTTTTTATTGTAGTCGTCCCTTTTTTATTTTCTTTTGTTGACGAGTTGTTTGTGAAGGAAGTTTTGGCGAGCAAGAGGTGGTTTGAGACAGGGAAGACGGCGTGGGACAGCTGAAAGCGGGGATGTGACGATGGCCCCGCACGGTACGGATAGTACGAGGGAGATGCCCATTCGTACGGTCGGTCGGTTTGGGGGGCGTCTCTAATAAGTCGAGGTTGCATCGACGTTTCTTTGTTTAGAAGCCGCCAACTGTCATTCATGGTTGATTAAGTCAGCCTTATTGTCCGGCACTTGGTTCTCTCCTGAGGGTCAGGGAGAACTGACAATGATACAGAAGAGAGATCTTCTCTTTCAATAGCCTTACTTCAAGCGATGCGACTGATTGGTTAATTGATACTGTATGCAGATGACAGACATACTACATACATGATGTGTAAAAAACAAAAACTAGATCAGGGGCCCAACCGCGATTCGAACGCGGGGCCTCGCCCATTCAAGCTACGCTGAAGGGTGGTTAAACCCGAAGGGCGAATCATACCTCTAGACCATTGGGCCTGATTCATTTGTCTTGGAAAATCGGCAGTAGATCTTATATATAAAGGTCTCCAACATCCGCTACATTGTCAGGACCACAGAGGCGGTTCCAACGCAGTCGGAACCATGGTCCGGTGCTACTTTTCCAGTCTTAATTGTTGGGACCTTTGTCGACAAGGATGCCATCGCCTAAAACCAAACATCGCCCCTTCACCGCTTGGCTTGGAAGCGTTGTCGCAGGTTTATCGACGGTAAAGACCATCACACATCGCCTGTGTCAAGATGGACAAGCTTTCGACACGACTGCTGTGGGAGTAAACCCAAGCGACCTCCCACAAATCGCAAACCCCAATCCCCACCGTCAACAACCTTTCCTGCGAGGAAGTGCTGGGAGGAAGAGGCAGGCCAGGTCGTCTTCTACCTAACCCGGTGCCACGGATGCCGTTCTGAATCGCAGGCTCATCAGCCAAACTCCACCCGGTGGGTGTTTGGAGGCATGACAGATCGTCAAAAGGCCAGCCCCGCGCCAAGCGCCCGCACTCCCAGGCCTGTTCCTCGCAGTTTTGAGGGGAGGGGGGGAGAAAAGAAAAAAAGAAAAAAAGAAAAAAGAAACCTTGCTATGCAGATGCACACCGACTAAGGTGACCCCGCCAGATGGCGACAAACCAGCAAGTCGACGCGCGAGGCTACCCCAGAGCCGGAAGACTAAACCGACTGTCACTCACCCTCGACCCCAAGGAGGAAGGGGAAGAGGGGGGCAGGAGGGGGAAAGAAAAAAAAAATTCCATCCTCCGATAACGCCCCCATCGTGGTCGAGGTTTTGCGCGCGCCCGCGTATGCACCACCCGGCACGCCCGTCCGGCGGCCCACCACAAGCAGCACCATTATGCCGTCCCAATTCTATCCTTATCCGACGCCTTTCTTTCAGATAACGTCTCCTCCTCCCTTTCCCCTTTGAACCTCGTTTCCGATTTTATTCCTGCCCTTGGTTCCCTAATTAGAAACCCTTCGTGTGATCTCCTTCGCACAACCCGTCCCGTCCGTCCGTCTGGTCTGCGCCGGTCCCCCGCCCCGAATCACGCGAAAGCTTCCGCCTAGGCACGCAGCCAAAAGAGCGCAAACGGCACAACCACGCAAACGCCAGGAACACGCGGCCACGATACGCCCACACGCAATGTCCACCGGCCAAACAGCGGCGGCGGCGGAGGAGCCCGCGCCATCCTCCATCCTCATCATCGGCTCCGGCGTCTTCGGCCTCACAACGGCGTACGAGCTCGCCCGGCGCCCGCGCTACGCGTCCACGACCATCACCGTCCTCGACCGCTCCCCCGTCCCCGGCCCCAGCCAAGACGCCGCCTCCGTCGACTCCTCCCGCATCATCCGCGCAGACTACGCCGACCCGGCCTACGCCCGCCTCGCCGCCGAGGCCCAGACCGAGTGGCGCAAGACCGAGCACCCCTCCGACCTCGGCGCCGAAGGCCGCTACAGCCAGTCCGGCCTCTGCCTCGTCGCCGACCCGACCCCGACGGCGGCGGCCGCCGCCGCTGCCCCCTCCTCCTCCTCCTCCTCTTCGCCGCCGCTGCAGCGGACCGTAGACACCAACGCCCAGGCCAAGCGCAAGGCCAAGAAGACGTCCCTCGAGTACGTCCGCGAGAGCTACGACAACGTCGTCTCCCTCGCGGGCCCCGACGGCGACAAGATTATCAGGGAGCTGTCCACGCCCGCCGCCATCAAGGACTTCCTCGGGACCCCGATCGCGCCGGGGACCTGGGGCTACATCAACCCCCTCGCGGGGTGGGCCGACGCCGGCGCCGCCATGTCGTACCTCGCCGCCAAGGTCCAGGCCCTCGGCCGCGTCACGTTCGTGTCGGGCACAGCGACCCGCCTGAACTACGGCCCCGATAGGAGGACGGTCACCGGCGCGACGCTCGACGACGGCCGCGTCCTCTCGGCCGACCTCGTCATTGTCGCCGCCGGCGCCTGGACGGGCCGGCTCGTCGACCTCTCCGGCCAGGCCATCGCCACAGGCCAGGCGGTGGGCTACATCGACATCACCCCGTCGGAGCTCGAGGTCCTCCGGAAGATGCCCGTGACCCTCAACTTCAGCACCGGCCTCTTCATGATCCCCCCGGCCGGCCTCCAGCTCAAGGTCGCCCGCCACGCCTTCGGCTACCTGAACCCGACACCCGTCCCCCACCCCTCGCCGTCGGCCCCGTCCTCGGCCAGGTCCACCATCTCCCTCCCCGCCACGCACCTGACGGACCCCAGGCTGAAGTTCCCCAAGGAAGGTGAGGCCGCGCTGCGCGAGGCCGTCCGCACCATTGTGCCCATCCCCGCCATCCACGACCGCCCCTTTTCCCAGACCCGCTTGTGCTGGTACACCGACACCCAGTCCGGCGACTTCCTCGTCTGCCACCACCCGGAGGCCAAGAACCTCTTCGTCGCCACGGGCGGCAGCGGCCACGGCTTCAAGTTCCTGCCCGTGCTAGGTCGCGAGATCGTCAACGTGCTTGAGGGGCGCGGCGACGTGGTCTTCACCGACAAGTGGCGGTGGAGGGAGACCAAGACGAAGACGGACGTGACTGACTTGTACGAGCACATCATGACCGAGGACGGCAGCAGAGGTGGCATCCCTGGTCTGCTGCTGAAGCAAGAGCAAGCTAAGTTGTAGACGTATATCATAATGACATGACTACATGGACACATACACCGTAGAAGCTCTGTAGAAACATGTGGTTAACCTAGGAGTCTTAATGCCGTATAGGAGTCTTAATGCCGTAGCACCAGCACACCTGTTGTTTTATAGAACCATACACAGAGGACATTATTTTCAAGGCTTGCCTCACTTTGAGACCCGTGCATCGTCTAGTGAAACAGGTTATGTCATTGTGCAAACAACTAATGCCTGCCTCTCAACTCGCATCAAACCTCCGCATCAAGAAAATAGCAGGTGTAAGACCGAGTGATAGGACCGGCCACCCGAAAGTGAGGTGACCATGCACCTTATACCTGTTCTCCCTTCCCCCCACAACCCATGATACTCCCGACCCACTGTCCAGAAGGTGCGTTAACTTCATCCCGATCCGTCGTGCGTGTCGTCTCCATTTCCACTCCTTTCCCCTCATAGAGCTCAACCCCCTTGCATCTAAGCCGCTTCCATTAAAGAACGGCAAAGTCGACCTGCGCGTCTGCCGTCGACGATGCCACGAGCAATCTATGTAGTGCTGCGGTACGAGAAATCTTATTCTTTTCGTTTGAATCAACCACCTGGCAAGATGCCTCCTGCCCAGGTTTTACCTCCTTTGCCAACGCCAATGCAATGCAGCGGGAAAAAAAATCAAAGAAACAAAACCGAGTTGTCGAGTACACCTTGGGTCACGGCTAGGTTGCCGCGTGGCCAAGGCTCGACTTTTTTTTGTATGGTGTGCGGGGAAAATAATCGTGGTATCGTGAAGAAAGGGTGTATCTAGTCGTACAAGTCGGCGATGTTGAGCACGATATTGGTACATCGACGCGGGTCGATGATCCCTCCTTGGCTTCAGGTTGTTTAGACCTTGCGGAAATCTAGGAGACTGTCAGTGGAAGAAACGGAATGGGAGAATGAGTGTGTACTGACCCTGAAGCACAGGGTAGATCATCTCGAAAGCCTGGTAGATTTCCTCGCGGACCTTGGCACCGGTGAGGACAATTTTGCCACTCACGAAAATGAGGAGCACAATCTTGGGCTTAATCATGCGGTAGATGAGACCGGGGAACAACTCTGGCTCGTAAGAGCTGAAGTTGTGATGGCGCGAAGCAAGACCCTCCAAGCGAATGGGGAACTTGATATCGCAAGAACCGACGATGTTCTGAATCTTGAAGTCCGTAAACTTGGCGTTGAATCCCAGCTTCTGGATGATACGCGCATACTTGCGCGATGCCAGCTTCGAATCGTCCTCAGACTTGGCACCAGTAACAACCATCTTGCCTGAGGCGAAGATCAAAGCGGTGGTCTTGGGTTCGCGAATACGCATGATGACGGCAGCGAAACGCTATGGGTCAGGGATGTCAGCATCGCAGTGATGATGATAGACTCAACCGGTAAGTAATACCTTGGGGTTGTACTCTGCGTTTCTCGCGTGCAGGGCAATCGTCTTGAGGTCCAATCGGCAATCGAGGTTGACCGTGGCAACGATGTTCCTTTAGTGGGCGAGATAAGCCTCAATGATCGAGAAGAAAGAACATCACTCATGGTATACATACTGCAACGTAGGAGTCAAGCCACTGCCACCCTGCGTGGCGGCAGGCGTCGCGGCAGGTGTCGCGGGAGTCACCCCGGTACCATTTGCGACTTGCTGGCCGTTGGCAATTGGCGCTTGTCCGTTGACTGCCACCTTTTCGCCGTTCGCAGCGGAAGGGAGCTCGTGAGCACCGCCGGGGAATGACAGCGAGCCGGGAGCGGTAAAGGCCTTTGCCTGCGCAGCGCTAACGGGATGGGTTTGAATTGCCTCCATGTTTGCGGTTTGCTGAGTGACCAAAGGACCGAAGGGATAGAAAGCAGATCTGAGACCAGAAAGGGGTTAGTGGTTGTAAATATTATGATAGCAATGCAGTAGAGTGTGTGGTCAAGTGAAATTGGGATCCAAGAAGTGATGGTGTCTAAGCGTCAGGTGTGCCTTGACGGGACTCATCGATGTGGTTTTTGTTTTTGTTTTTTCAAATGGTTCAGGCAAGGTCTTCGGGATAGGGATTTTGTAGGTTGGGTAGGCAGGAGGAGCCAATGATGGTTGGGCGTTACCAACTTTGGGCTGGGCAGGCAAGAGGCAACAGTGGAGGAAGGAGCGAAGAGAGGACAGGACGCCGGTGACGACAAGCAAAAGAAAGAATGCGTACCAGATGTGGGAGATGAACAAATGAATGTCTCCCCTACAATGTCTGCTCGACAGGTAGGTTTGCAGGATCTTGCTATGCGACAGAGGTGCGTGCAATCGATGCCGGGCTTACGAGAGCGGCGGGAATGCGATGCAGATGGATCAAGTGAG